GTAGCTCTTCTTCTCCCTATTTTGGCTCATTATTTGTACTATCACTGTCAACACATTCATTATTACATTCATTCCTAGAATAATCTAGAGTACAATTTCCTAAACTCTAGATTATTATAAGAATTTGACATGTATTGTCTCTTTGACTACTAAGGTTCTTTTGTTCTATACTCTATAACCTCTAGATCTTTCAAAGTATTATAGAAATATGATGTACATTTATTATTGTATTTAAATACCCAACATCTAATAATATTTAGAACTAAGACCTAATGATATTTTAGTATAGGTTTAAGTTTCAAGTCGAATATAAGGAGTTTGATTTATCTATCGTGAGAATTTGATTTAGTTGAAGAATGACTATAATTTTTATCACTATTTAATGGAAAGAAATAAGATATCAAATATTATAGATATTAAGGACATAAATAAATTTATATGAAATAAGTGAAAGAGAAGATAAAGGAGAAGGTGGACGAGAGAAGTAAGAAAAGAGAAGATTATCTTTAAAGAAAAAGAGATTTTTAAAGGGAGAGAAAAAGAACTTAAGAGAGGGATAGATCTTGAGAGAGAAAGAGAGAATGAAAGCTGAAAATAAATATTGTCTAATGTTGGTGTACCTCTTAGACAATTTGAGACACTATTGTGCTGGCTTGATTTTGTTTGGTTGTGTCACACTATAATAGAAATTATAGATTTATCATTTGAAAGTACTATACCATTTGTTAGAAATATCTACTAGGAAGAGGGGTTAATCACATTGTCACCGTCTTTTGAGGAGAGAAAAGATGAGATGACCACTTACCAAAAGGCCTTAAGTGTAGTTAGGGGACAAATGAATGAGTTAGCCAATCACCAAAGGCTTTGATCGTACAAAAGGGAGGAAGAACGGATGTCGTAATTATGGCTGTTGTTGGGATTTGAATAAGAACCCACATATATATGTGTCACTCATCTTCCATATCACTAAGAGAGAACTTGTTCATGAGAAGTATGATCTTGTCACACATGTGTTATATGCGGTTTGACCACCTATATAACATTCTCCCTAGGTGGTCCTAGCCATTTTGTTTATGGGAGAAGGAACTCATATCCATAAGGGCACCAAACTTTATATACCCATAAAATCAACAAAAAAATTGATGTGATAATAAACCTCATGAGCATTGTCCAATGAAGTGCTAGTTGAGCCTTGACCTGCATGTCATGTGAGTGACCTAGGTTTGAATCTTGTGTCTTTCACAAATTAACTTGATAAAAAATAAATAGAAAAATCAAGGAAAATTTAGGAAAAATTATAACTAACAAATGATTATCCAAAAATCATGATTTCTCTACAAATACTTGTCCAATTGAATTGAAATTTGACATGAAGCTTTATTTTTGTGAATGAATAATTATATAATAAAAAATGTCATTTTTGACCAAAATTGAAGCAAAAAACAAGAGTCAAAGGCTAAAAATAAAAAAGAAGGAAAAATGATTAAATCAAAACAAAATGAAATATTTTCAGGTATGAGGAATAGCAAGGAAGCTTCTTTCTCTTCTAGGAGATCTCATAAATGAGGCTAGAAGGTAGGCAATAAGGCTAAAGAGTAAGGAAAGAAGGAATATTATGCAAACTAATTAGCTATGAATCAATAGAGTTCTCTATGTTTTTAATATGTATTAGTCTTATTTCATATCTTTTCTATTCTTTGAGTGATAGGCATTGATCATTGCTATTGAGGTCGAGTTTAAGTAAACTCATTTAGTCTGTTGTTATCTCCATGTAGTATTCAATGTGTCATCATCTAGAATACATGGTAATGACCTCTTCTCTTTTGTGATTTTTAATATATCTTCTCAAAGACACTTTTGATGTACCCTTATATAGATTCCAAGTTATAATCTTACTTTAGACTTTAATATTTTTTTTCTATGTATTTCTTCATTGAGGTTTCTAACTTGTCACCATTCAAGTTCTAAGTTTAATACTTACTAGTGCCTTTCATATTTCATGTTTTTCAAGTATTTCTTTACTGAAGCTTATGACATATCGTTGTTCAAGTTTTGCATTTGAATCTTGTTAGTGACTTCAATATTTTAATACTTTAATACTTTCAAGTATTTCTTCAATATGACTTCAGACTTGTCATTGTTTAGGTTTCAAGTTCAAATCTTATCGATAACTTTAATATTTTAGATTTTTTTTAATATTTTTTTATATGTGTTGACACTTGATTGTGTACTTACATAGAACTCTAAGATGTTGTATTAATTTCAACATATAAATATCTCAAGAAATAACTCATTAAATTCATTTGTTAGTCATAGAATCACACAAGTTCACCATTATACATATTGGATAACTCTTAAAAATATTAATCTTGCAACACAATTTCTCATAAACTTTGAAAAATATTTAGTAAATCTTCAGTAAATAATTTTTTACTTTTAGTATCAAAATCTAAGACATTAACAAAGAACAAAAAATTACTTTTTAGACCTCCATGTCACTTGTGACTTATTTGGGCCCTTTTTCAGCAATCTTCACTTTATGACCCAAATTTGGAGTAATTGGTCCTAAATTCAAAGATAGGGCTGTAACTTTTGTGTATTGGACTACATCACTTTTGAAATTGTCATTTTTCAGGACAAGTTTTGATTGTGTCTTAGATCCCTTCATCACCAATGACCTCCTTATTTCATCTTAAGCATCTCATGTATTGAAAGAAAATTGGCAATTGTATTCAACTTCTAGAATCAAAATTACTCATGAGAACGTTTGGTGTCATTTTTTATCGACTGATTGTTGCCCTTGCCGTTCTATTGTGGGCTCTGTCCATCATAATGTGTAATGCCTGAGGTGCTGACCAGTAGTTAGTTCCAATAATTAGATCCGTCAAGTCATCATGATCGCTGGGACAGAAAAGTTGCACCATTAGTTAGCTCAATTCGAACGCTCCCCTCAATGAGGTAAAAGTGTTTTAAGGTGCCATCTTGTGGAGAAGGCCAAACATCCACAACATTCAGAAAAGAAATTTTACTGATTGGAGTATGATATATGAGAATTTAATATCTAACTCCTTACAATATGAAGTAGCGAACCAATATTGAAGGCACCAGGATGTTAAAGCCCTATCCAGCATGGTCATTTTTATTACAATAGTCACTTCTTCGAAGTAAAAGTGTGGTTCGTGATCTTGAGCATGCATAGGCTACATATTGGATTGAAAATTAAATAATTATTCCTGACTATATTGTCTTCTGGCTGACAGATTATGCCGCGCCTCTTCAGGATGCCCTGGAATCGCCTCGTCCCCAGTCGACGCGGTCGTGCCTTGCTGCCCTCTTCTGCGGAACGAGGCACCAGATGAGCTGGAGCTCGCTGCCGCTATTCTAACCGCCCGCAGCGTCATCTCTTTCCGCGAAGCTTCCCCCCCCGACATCTCTCTCCCCGTTCCGGGAACACACTGCTATCCCTGTCGTCGAGAGGAAGGTCAGATGCTGCCGGAAACCCCCCGAGAGAAGATTAGTTTATTGCCGAGTACCTGTGACGGAGAGGCCTCTGGACGGCCAGTTAGTCCTAAACAATGTCCGCGCACTGCGGACATCTCCGACACAGGGAATCATCTGAGAATCGTTAGAACCCGTCGGTCTGGGCAGCCGACAACTGGGGAGAAACTTAGTGCTGATGAAGCTGAAGACGCTATCGGTATTCTGGGCGTGCCAGTCGAGCGAATCGGGAGAGACCAACAACCCGGCTCTGAATGAAAAAACGGTGAGGTCCATTAGCGCTGGAACGGAAACGCCGCCCATATCTCAGCCACAACGGATTAGTATACATTTAATCGGGCTGCACTGACACCTGAGGCCGGTTAGGAATAAACACGGATAAATTCGTGCTAACTTATTCAACCAAGATAGAGTGGATGAAAAGCGCCGGCCTAGCTTATTCACTGTTATCAACCTGAAAACTTTATCAATCTATACTAACCTTCTGGCAGAGCGTCTCTCAGTGTTATTAAACTGAAGGTCGAATCGATTAGACTCCGGAACCAAGGCGAACGTTACTCGAGCTAAACCTAATCGGTTATGAAATCGGCTTCAAGAGAACTTCGTCAGCGCTCGGGGCGGGCCTGCTTCGCCTGGCCAAACCCATTCTTGCACAAGGTAGCAGTAGCACGACCCTGTCTACCATTAGATAGATAGGAGGATGCCCCTGAACCATTCTCCAATCTTTTCTCTGGGAACCGTTTCGATGTCCTCCTGTGTGCCTCCCCATCGAGCTTCCATTGGCCACGAGCTTACTCCAAGAGAGATACGCGTCGGCGCTATCTGTTAGCCGACGGACAGTGAAAGGCCACAAGTTGACCGTTTTTCCCTCGGGGAATCCCGACCCTCTGCGGCCCTGCTGGCGCCAGTTGTCACGTGCGAGGATCTCTGCTGCGACTTAACCTTCCGGTGACCGTCTGGCGCGTGCCCGCGCGCTCGCTCCAGCTGTTCCCAGTTGGTCTCGCCGATGGCCACCGCCAGCAGAGTGACGTCAGCGCAGGGCTGCAGGGATCACGAGATGACTGTGAACGGGGACCGGCGTACGGAGGAATCGCCATTGGGGAGCCAGAGGATCGATGGGCGCTCAGCCATCTTTTCCCCGTCATCCCCCTAGAGGCGCAGGTTAGGGAAGCATTGCAGGACAGCTGTCCCTCATAGTAGCTGCCAACCTGGCGATCACCCTTTCGGAAAGTGAGCCTCACCCGCTCCCTCCCTTGAATACCCTCCGCCGGCTGTCATGGAGGGTATTCTGGGAATATTTTCATCGGGACGCGCAATGACAGCCGTAAGCCATTAATGCCTTCCCTCCTCTTATTCGGCTTCCCGGTGGCTTCATTCAGCAGCACCCTACTTGGTATATAAATCCCTCAGTGACACAGCATTCATCCGCACTCCAGCCATCCTTATCTCCAAGCCGGAAGAGATACCCACCATCGTCGAATTCTTCACTGCATTAGCAATCAATGGCCTCAACTTTCCGAGTTAGCGCTGTCTTCGGCCTAGTGCTGTTCTCCCTGCTCCAGTGCTCCTTGGGCGCCAGGAAGCTCACCGCTTTAGTGGAGCAGCAGCCGCTCACCCTCACTTATCACCAAGGTCACCTCCTGAGCGGCCCCATCTCCGTCAACCTGATCTGGTACGGCAAGTTCACCCCGGTCCAGCGCGCCATCGTCGCCGATTTCTTCGCCTCCGTAGCCTCCTCCAGCAGCAGGCGCTCCGCGGCAACGGCAGCGCAGCAGCAGCCCTCCGTGGCCACCTGGTGGAAGACCACCGAGAGATACTACGCCCTGTCGAAGTCTGCGCTGCCCATCATCTCCCTCGGCAACCAAACCCTGGACGACTCCTACTCTTTAGGCCGAACCCTCAGCACCCCCCAGCTCGTAGCCCTCGCGGCGCGTGGGGGTCAGCGACGCGCCGTCAACGTGGTGCTGACAGCGGACGATGTAGCCGTGGAAGGCTTCTGTATGAGCCGGTGTGGCACCCACGGTGCCTCGCCGCGGTCCAAGAACGGGAGGTTCACCTACATCTGGGTCGGCAACTCAGCCAGTCAGTGCCCCGGACAGTGCGCCTGGCCCTTTCACCAGCCAATCTACGGTCCCCAGACCCCCCCCTTGGTGGCGCCCAACGGCGACGTCGGTGTTGATGGCATGGTCATCAACCTCGGCTCCCTTCTGTCCGCTACATTCACCAACCCATTCGGCGACGGCTTCTTCCAGGGGCCCCCGGAGGCGCCGCTGGAGGCTGCATCGGCATGCCCTGGAATCTACGGCAAGAACGCGTACCCCGGCTACGCCGGTGACCTCCTCGTTGATCCCACCACCGGAGCAAGCTACAACGCGAACGGACTGAACGGCCGAAAGTATCTGCTGCCTGCTCTTGTCGACCCCGCCACCTCCGCCTGCTCTACCGTAGTGTAGAAGGAGAGATCAGATATTTCATATACTGCAACAGAACATAGATAGATGCTAAAGAACAGAGATGTAGGTGGAAAATGACGATAGTTGTTATTTTTTTATTTGTTCATTGTATCAGTCACTGCTAATGTGAAATTCTTTTGCGACGCATGGAATCAAGCCCGCTGTGCCTAATCATCCCCTATGTCCCATAATTTGCCTCCACATTGTTGGGATTTCTATCACAGTTTCGGCGATATGCCTGCCATACTCCCCTGGGTACCGTCCACATCAGGCCATTCGGCCATTTCGTAACGACCTCTGCGACTGTTGATATCAATGCACTCTCGAACTTCATGGTTCGTTCTTAATTCTTCGAGGAAGACCGTAGCTAAGAGCCGACATACAACTGCCAACATTTACGAGCCACAGAAGGTTGGTTAGAGGGAACAAGGAGAAAAACGAGAAACAACATAATTTATAGCTGAAATGCTCACTTGAGACGGTTTTCATTGAGATTCACGCAATCTGTCACAGTGCGACGAGTCTGTTCAAGGGGAGCGTCTCCATTAAAATGCTTGTAGGGAATTTACGCCGCTTAGTTAAACTCCCTCGGACGAAAATGGATAATCAATTTCCCCGTATCTCATTGTTAGAAAGGAGTCATTTCCATGACAAATCAATAGGAACTTGATGATAGATACCTAGCCGTTATGATTGGCTTAAGAGTCAACTGGGATTGCCCCTGATATCTCTCAAATAATTCAAAGACTAAACCGAAACCATGTTGTGTAAAATTCACGGTGGACATGGAAAATACACTGCATAATTCGAATAAAAATTCCACTTGCTTGCTTCAGTCTGAAGAAAGTGTTTTCTTGATGGCGACCAGGCCGTGTCCTTTCCATTGATCCACTTCCTGCCTTCTGCGGCGGCAAATCCGATAACCAGAGCACGAACTCACTCTAGAAACGACCTAGTGAGGAATCTAATTAAATGAACTTCAGGCTAAGATCAGCGGGCATTTCTTACACAATAATCTCACCTCTTTCATGGTACAGCCATTGAGTTAGTGGTCCACTGTTGGAAGGTGCGAGGTTAACCTTGTGTGGAAGGCAGGGCAGAGCTTAGTTCACAGAGAAAACCAAAGCGGTAAGGGAAAATGGGTTGACAGGGGAAAGCAAAAGGTGGCTCATGTGTTTTTAATTTTTCTTAAGTTTCCAATTTGTGAACGACAGTGTGTATTGTGTGTATTCCTTATATTTTGAAATTTGGAACAGATGCCATGTTAATGATTGCTTCTGTGCAAGGTAGAGATATCGGATCAACTACTACTATCAACAGGTGAGAGGACATGGGATAGAGTCGAACCAGATATATTAACAAGAACAAACGGACGTCGTCATGATCTCGTGGTGTTCGCCTTAAATTGCAGCACACGTGTCGATTATGATCAATAATTAGGTACATTATGATAGTAATATATAGCGCAAGCCTGATTAGCGTCGACATTCACCGATATCGTCAGGGAGTATGAAATTAAGATGCGTCTAAAGGCACACCTACTGTTGGGAACCTGTCTTCAACATGTCTAGTTTGGTCACTTAATCTACATCCTTTGGCGGTCAAACCAACGTGGTATTCCAACAATGGGAACTGCTTGAGACCCAATACTCTTCCCAAATGGGCACAAAACCGTAATTCACATATCATTCAAATCGGACAAGGATAAACTTGGTTTGCTTGCAATTTAGCATTGTAACTAGTCTGAAACACAGGCCGTGAAATGGGCTTTCTGGCCGTCTTGAGCCTCCGAAGGGATGAACCCTAAAGGTTCATTATTGGTCGGATATTTAGGTTTCTAGCTTTGATTCTTCCTCCTCCCCTGTCCTCCATGCACCCCCCCTCCGTCTTAGAAGAGGGAGAGGAAGGGTCCGTGGCGTCCTCGCTCAGTGACACCGGCAATCATGCCGCCTCCGAGTGGACTGCGCCAGACCACCGGCGCAAACGGTCCTCTTCCGCGCTCTTTCGCATTTGACCTCTCGAACCGTCATCACCTCGTTGTGTCGTTGGACCGCCGGCCAGCGGGTAGACCGTCGGCGTCCGGGCGGATGGTGTCTGGCGCCATCCGATAGGGCCAAGGAGACCTCTGCGCGTTTCTCTACTTCTTTATCCGATGAGGCTTCCGCGACGACATCCTGTCGTCGGTGCGCCGCCCGGCAAGAAGACCGTCGGCTGCCGGCGGGATGCTGGCGGTCGGCTCCGGCACCAACCACCGATCTGCCGACATCTTCCACTTTTTTGCGATTCTCCACCACCTCCCACACGGCCCGAGCACCCGCTCGGAACCCCGTTCTATGTGGGCACAAAGATCTTACTTTACTGTTTTCATCAAAGATATAACTTATCTTACAGGCGGAGAAAAGCTAGCTCAAACATTCACAGGGAGATTTCGAGATGGTTTCCGTCCTTAGGAGCCCACTTGCATCAGATGCGTAACTCGACAAAGTCAACTTTCAAGGAATTTCAGAGTGATCTATTTAGCGAGTTATTTCAGCTGCCCTTTGATCCGGTATATAATTTATACTGAGCGCCTGGAGTCCATCAAATTCTGATCCCGATCGGCAGAGGACGGTGATTCACCTCAAGGTTCGTCACTGCGTACTCGCCTCGTATCAGATTTGATGATTCTGTGCGGATAATGAACTTTGCTTGAGCGACGATTCGCTAAATTGTGTCCGGACCAGAGCCGACTCCAGCTCCGCACCAGCTGTCCCGAAAGTGCTCGCCACCGGCGAATGCGTCCAAAAACTGTGGTCAGCGCCCCTCGACCTTTGACGTGTCCAGCTTTCTTGCGCCCACGGTGTTTCAAATTACATCTCGTGCAAGTCTGCTGGAGTAGCCGACTATGACACGTTATCCTCGGTCTCGAACCTTCTACCGCGTGCATAGTCTTAGGGCCTTGTCGGACGCTCCAACAACGGCAACTTTACCGGATACTTTAATGGATACCGGGCTCCTTCTGGAATCGAACGGGCGGCGCCACCTCTTCCTGGTCTTATCGACCAGCTGTGACTCGCATTTTTGTAGAAATCCCCCTTCGTACATCGACATTACTGTCCGGTGGCGGCATTATATAACTACCGAGGCTTCCTAATCCCCTCATAGTGCGCGGCCGGCAATCTCACTACTACTTGACTGCCGAAATAGAGACGCATCTGCCCAAATGCCTAGCCCTTCCGAGTCTTCTATCTTCTTCCTGGTCTTTATCTCCTTATTGCTCTGTCCTGCCTCCGCTGTGCCCCGAAAGCTCGCTGCCCTGGTCAAGGAGCCACCCCTGGTTCTCCGATACCACGCCGGCCCTCTCCTCAAGGGAAATGTTACCCTTAACCTCCTCTGGTACGGCCACTTCTCACCTTCTCAGCGCGCCATCGTCGTCGACTTCCTCCGTTCCCTCTCGCCCACACAGCGCTCGCTTCCGCTGCCACCCTCGGTGTCCTCTTGGTGGAGCACCACTGATGCCTATGGACATGGGAGGAAGACGGTGCTCTTCCTGGGCCGCCAGGTGCTCGACGGAGGATGCTCTCTCGGAAAGTCCCTCAATTCCGCTGACCTGGTTACGCTAGCAGGAAAGGCTGGGGGTGGTGCCGCCGCCATCAACGTGGTTCTCACCTCTGCGGACGTGACTGTGGAGGGCTTTTGCATGAGCCGGTGTGGCACCCACGGCGAGTGGCGCCGGGAGTCCCCCTTCATCTGGGTCGGCAACTCGGCCAGCCAGTGCCCGGGACAGTGCGCCTGGCCCTTCCACCAGCCCATCTACGGCCCCCAGACTCTACCTCTGGTGGCGCCTAACGGCGACGTCGGGGCGGACGGCATGGTGATCAACCTGGCGTCGATGGTGGCGGCGACGGTGACGAACCCTTTCAAGAGCGGTTTCTTCCAGGGGCCCAAGGAGGCGCCGTTGGAGGCGGTGTCGGCGTGCCCGGGGATTTTCGGCACGGGGGCGTACCCGGGCTACCCTGGAAAGCTAATGGTGGACAGCGCCAGCGGCAGCAGCTACAACGCCAACGGTGTGGCCGGCCGGCGGTACCTGCTGCCGGCTATGTGGGACCCCCACAGGTCGCGATGCTCGCCGCTCGTGTAAGTCAGTATTGGCCGTCTTGATCAAGACAACGACACTAAGGACGCAGTTCAACCTTGAAAAATCTATGTAGGTTTTATACGTGGAGTAAAAATCCTAAATACCCAATTGGGTTTTGTAATACTCATCTGATTTGATGACGAACAGCTATTTTATCATGGAAGCTTAGGGTAAATCCATTTAAATGTAAGTTCTATCTAAACTGAGTGAACATACTATACCTTTATATTGAGCTTAGTTCATCTTAAATACTTCCCATCTGATGAATAAGACATATCTCATATAACAATGTCTTGACAGCAATTATAGATCATAATCATAAAATGTGTATAATGCATGTATATCAAACTTCAATGTCTTTTGATCTTAGTATGTTATAAAATATTTAGAAAATAAATTTCACTAGAATCTAAATGTTTCTTTAATTCATTATGAGTGATAAAGATGTGAATAGAAGAAGTGAAGTTTAGATTAAGTACTTAATTCATTATATGAGTAAAGGTTCTATGAGTAAAGAAAGCAATTTCTAAGCTGATCTTTACAAAGATGCATACCTTTAATTCATAAAAGATTTATGACCATATCAAAATAACATTAATTGGTGTTAAGGTTCTCAGTACTTTCTTTAAGAATAGTTATACATTATATTCATGGGCTCAAAATTTAGAGTCATTTGGCTGATCCTTTTTTGAGCTACTAAATGGAAAGTATGCTAGTTATGGCTTTTTTGTACTTTAAAAGGGCATAGATAAGTAACAAAGTTGCTACTTAGAAGATTGATTTTTAAAAATAAATGTAGGATCCGATTTCTTGTAAGAAAATTTTCTATGTGAAATTCTTTGTTGCATTGCACGAGTTATACAGTTAATTGAATATTATCATAGTGTCGTTTCACCAATATGGAAGATAAGTTGAAGCAGAATATTTAATCACCCATTTATGGTATGGGAAGGAGGGAGACATTCAAAGGAGTTTAATGTCATTCAAAGGAGTCAAAAGAGTTAATATCTAGCTTAAACATACCCTTCATGACCAATTTCATTACAAAGTGTCTCATTGACTTTCAAAAAGTATCATCATAGGAATGAGGATGTGTGCTCATAAAAGACATGATTTCACTAATTATGAAAGGATTAACTACGGAGCATAATGTGCTCAAGAATACAAATATTCATCATAGCTACTAAAAATCCAACAATTTTGATGTGGAAACATATCATTCAAGATTTTGAAGAGCTTGTTTCACCATCCAAAATTTAATATTGAGAGATTTTCTGCTACCACAATAATTTGTCTAGAACATATGTGACATTATGGAAGTCTAAAAAGATCATAAACCTTGCATTGTGGGCTTAAGGAATGAACTTCCCGATCCTCAAGTCTACAAGGATCGCCTTGGACAACCTTTAAATTCACAAGAATCAGAATAAAGACCTTTAAATCTACAAGTAAATATGCAGAAATATATTAGAATCTGTTATTGCCACTCTTTTGAAATTAGATTGTGCTAGCATTTAAATAGGCTGAAGTCATTGTTCCTCTTGTACAAAATTGGATTACATGAGAAAACAATATAAAAGCAAATCAATAGTATAATGGTTCCTGAGGATGAATTTGACGTGTTTCCCATCTGGGTTTTAGTCTTTAACACCTTTCGAGACTTCCAACCTTTGTGACCTATATTTTTATGTTTAAGGCCTCTTGGGACAGCAACTTTGAGATTTTCTCATTTTCTCGAGCTGTGTTATATATCATTCCGAAAAATGGGCATCATCTAACAGGCTTCAAATGCAAAAGATATGAAAGGTTGATATTGATCGCAATTTCACAACGCATGTATTATTTTTCTAGAAGCTTTCTCATCATCTTGAAAGATTTTAGTTTAAAGAATGTATCATGGTTCATGATTTGGTGAAACCTACTTGAGCTTGTCTATCGGAAAATTTATTTAAAAACATAGGAAACAAGTTTTGTAAGGAGTTTTTACATTGATGGCTTTAGAGCTTCAATCTAATGGCAACTAGAACCAATATTTACAACATATAGGCATCCCATGAAGATAAACTTAGTTCAATAATCGATCATGATGACACAAGGACTGACGTACCAAGTTTGGCAATTGATCTTATCAAGTCGTATCATTTACGAATTGACGTGCAGTCATTACAGTGACTAAGAAACTCGAATATCATGGATTGATTACTATTACAGGTCGCATATATTTTTATGTGAGTTGTACTCCATATCCGAAGTGGGCGGCTACAGCCTACCCTGCTGCAACGGCAGGTAAGCCGTCCCACCGGTTCACTAATCGAAACCTACTACACGTGCGGTCAACTCCGGCTGGCACGGCGTGAAGCCGTAGTCTAAACGAGATGACGAATCGATGAGCGAGACCTGGGGGGCCGGCAATTATGAGTAGGAACCTGGCGACGAACGGCAGTGGGGTTCACACGCTAGACCACTAGGCCCACAAATGAGGTTATTCTTTATTTGAGGCATCCGCAAGGATGGTTCCTTATAGAGTTTATTGGTGGGGCCCTCCCCTGTTGCGGACTCTCGCATCCGTCCTTACCCCCAAGGAGCCGAAAGGCCTCCATCCCCCGCCCTCTCCCTCATCCTCTTCTCCAATAATTGGTGCTCCCTCTCGCTGACTGGTCCTGCATGAAAGACAGCTGGCATCCTATGAACACGTCTATCCTCTGGACTATATAAGCATCTGTCTTGGGCTTTACCTCTCTTCAGCAGACGCAACTCCGTACATCCTCTTCTCTCTCCTCCTCCCTGGGGATTGCCATGGCGTCAGTATATGCCGGTCATCCCTTTAACTCGTCGTTCTCTTACCCTTTAGTCTTAATTCTAGTCTTTATCTCCTTATTGCTCTGTCCTGCCTCCGCTGTGCCCCGAAAGCTCGCTGCCCTGGTCAAGGAGCCACCCCTGGTTCTCCGATACCACGCCGGCCCTCTCCTCAAGGGAAATGTTACCCTTAACCTCCTCTGGTACGGCCGCTTCTCACCTTCTCAGCGCGCCATCGTCGTCGACTTCCTCCGTTCCCTCTCGCCCACACAGCGCTCGCTTCCGCTGCCACCCTCGGTGTCCTCTTGGTGGAGCACCACTGATGCCTATGGACATGGGAGGAAGACGGTGCTCTTCCTGGGCCGCCAGGTGCTCGACGGAGGATGCTCTCTCGGAAAGTCCCTCAATTCCGCTGACCTGGTTACGCTAGCAGGAAAGGCTGGGGGCGGTGCCGCCGCCATTAACGTGGTTCTCACCTCTGCGGACGTGACTGTGGAGGGCTTTTGCATGAGCCGGTGTGGCACCCACGGCGAGTGGCGCCGGGAGTCCCCCTTCATCTGGGTCGGCAACTCGGCCAGCCAGTGCCCGGGACAGTGCGCCTGGCCCTTCCACCAGCCCATCTACGGCCCCCAGACTCTACCTCTGGTGGCGCCTAACGGCGACGTCGGGGCGGACGGCATGGTGATCAACCTGGCGTCGATGGTGGCGGCGACGGTGACGAACCCTTTCAAGAGCGGTTTCTTCCAGGGGCCCAAGGAGGCGCCGTTGGAGGCGGTGTCGGCGTGCCCGGGGATTTTCGGCACGGGGGCGTACCCGGGCTACCCTGGAAAGCTAATGGTGGACAGCGCCAGCGGCAGCAGCTACAACGCCAACGGTGTGGCCGGCCGGCGGTACCTGCTGCCGGCTATGTGGGACCCCCGCAGGTCGCGATGCACGCCGCTCGTGTAAGACGGTCATATTAAATACGACGTGATTTCATGTACATATTATAGGTATAAGCTTACGGATAAGCCAAGGAGGTTGATTTTACGTGGGATCTGCGGGATTGTGCAATTTTTTTTAGGGTATATCCATCGATACAAAATTGGCTAGCATTTAATGTGGGAGTTTATTTCAGATCTTACATTGCGCCAGTAGACTGTCTACCGTCCATAAAACTATATACGTTATGGTGTTGGCTGAAGTGTCATAAGAGAAGATAGTCCTTATTACAGAATTATGCGGGGATTGTTCTCCCTGAGCCATTCAGCATGGTGACCTCTTAAACGAAGGTTGAAGTCCCACTGACCGTTGTATTCTCACGCGCTGTAAGGGGATTGCTCAAGCGATGTACTCTGCTCTTTCGGATGTCTTGTCTATCATCCTGTTCGTCACAGTGGTACTCACTTCAAGGCATGCTCAGTTCTCCATACAGAATAGTTTGCAGCCATTGAGGTATGAGTAGTAGAACATAGGTATCTAAAGTCATTGGGTCAGTGTAGGATTTGATGTTACTCATTTTATATAAGCATTAGACTTACTTCCATTTGATAACTTGGTGTTTTCTTTCAACAACTTAGCCTCGTCCTACTTTACATTCATTTTATATGTCTGTGTTGGTCGCCTACTTCTAATGCAGTAATGGAAATAAGTCACTACAACACAAATGAACATGTACAGCCTTGACTGTACATGAGACACCTAGGATCTGGTTGGCTAATTAATAGTGGATAAGTATCTATAACGATGGCATCTGAGTGCCCTTTGTTAGGGGATAAATTAGGAAAGAGTGGGCTTGAAAGTGTGCTTTGAAAGTTAAAAGTCTTCCAAGTATTTTTTCTTTAAATAAAGAGAACATGATAGGATTGCATACCTCATAAGATTTTGTCATTAGGCATATATCTTCTTTTTCTTCATTTTCTTCATCTAGGCTTGAATCACTTTCACTTCATGTTGTCTTGAATCTTTCTTTTCAGCAATGAGCAATCAGCTTTGAAATGATCCAATTTCTTACAATCAAAGCAAAGATCATCAGATTGTCAAGAAACTTTTTCATACCTTTTCTACCCCTGAAGTTTCTATTCTTCTTTTTAACCTATTCAATCTTTTAGATAGAAATACAATCTTCTCATCATCGTCGGATGTTTCAACATATTTATAAGATTTTTTTTTCTTTTCCTAAAAATGTTCGTTTCTAGACATGTGAAGTTTATGAGTCAACAATGAGCCAATAATATCATCAACATGAATAACTTTTAAATCCTTTAATTCTTCAAATGGTATTCTTTAACACACCATTCATTAGTTATGATCAATGTAATTTTCAATTTAACTCACCATTCTTAAATATCTTGCTTAAGTTTCTCATACCATTTATAATTTCATCAAATCTGCAAACAAGATTTTGAATGGACTTATTATCTTCCATTCAAAATAATTAATACATATTTGCTAAAATATCAATTTCGTGTCCTTCACTTGAGAAGTTCCTTTATATGTCACATGCATCTTATCTCACATTTATTTTCTTGTCTCACAACTTGAAATATGGTTAAATTTACAAACATTTATAATACTAAACAAAATATTAATTACCTTAACATTTAAACTCATAGATTGGTTATCCATAGACTCTTTTAATGCACCTATATTGACAATTACAAATGAATTTTGACAATTCCTACACTCTCACGTGGTTAACACATCAAATGGTGATGTTAATTTGAGTTGTTAAAGTCATAGGAAGATCAAAAAGAAGCTTTATGTTCATTGTTAATGTGCTTAACAAGAAGAGCTTGAAATTATCACTTAGATATTCATTTGGAGTTGTCTTATCTTTCTCTAGCCTCTCCTTGTTTATTATGTCTTTTAACAACTTATTGATTTCATAGGGTCTTGGAAGTTTAGGAAACTTATTTAAAACATGTCATCTTTCAAAACACACAATTACAACTTTTGACTATTTAGTGATTCAAATCTTTCTATTTTCTCATCTATTTTCATTTGAAAGTTGAACTACCATACCTGATGGTGAATAATTTTTTGTTGAGAGTGGATCCAAAAAATCATGTTCATACTAACTCTTCATCAACATAAGTTGATGATCTGTCACCATCTAGATGCCAAGTTCAAGACTTATTTGTGCCATTTCTTTTTTGAATTATTTTGATGTGTTAACCAAATGATCACGTGTTACCTATATTGAGTTAACCATGTATATTTTTATTTATCAAATGGTGATTCCTTAATAAATATTGATCAACAATCAAGTGTTCCTACCATGAAGAATATTTGGGTCTCAAAGATTAACATCTTGGATTCAATTGTTAGTCATAGGATTATGAAATTAACAAATATAACTAATATGATATTCATATGACTTAGTCATTATATAATAAATCACACAAATTTAAAATTTATAATAAACTAAATAAATTATTATTTGATAAAATATTTTAAAAATAATAGAGAATTTCAAAGTCGATCATAGGGATGTAAGATAATATTGAATAATATTTAATTTTTTTAAAAAGAATATAATTTATTATAATTTTTAAACTAAATGATGAATAAAAAATATATTTAAAAATTCACAAAAAAGAAAAAAAAGGGTACAAATATTAAGATGACATTAGTACCTTGAGGAACATGATTCAGGTAAAAATAAAGTTCCACTCGATAATTCTTACATAAATAATTACAAATAATTTAATGGTCAAATTAATATCAATAAAAGCAAGAAGAATCCTAATTAAATAAATAAGGTATTAGACTTTTAAATCACACAAATTATCCCTAAAATAAGTGAAAATTAAGTTAAAAGTAGGAAAGATAAAGTTCAGCCTCACGATAATAATCACTAGAATTCTATATATTTAGGATGATAATTGTTGGATCTCAAGGTCTCTCTTTGGACATAGATGATATAGGCATTCATTGGATCTCCTTTTGAAGTTCAAAAAGTAATGGTATAAATTGAATTATTTAAAAATAATAAATAAAGTTTTGTCATTACGATGGTGATGTATTTAAATCTTGTGTATTTAAAAGGATTATTCTATAATATTTATGACTTCAAAGGTTCTTTTTGTATAAGGACGATTGAACAATCTCTAAATCTTTTTATGAAGTCTAGAAATCAATAAAATAGGTCATTAAGTCATCTCTAGTGGTTGTCACCTAATAAAATAGAAAAATGATGACTTTATAGCTCTCTAGTAGTTATCGCCCAATAGATATGAGTTTGATGAAGGTGAGGCACGATTTAGAAAACTTCATCCTCATGTCTATGCAGCAAGAGAGGCTCTTCATTACATTTAGTACATTCTTAGGAGGTGACAACTCATCTCTCGATGAATCATCCTCTTCTTGATTATGATTTATTCGTCAATCAATCAGAGATGATTTACTTAATGAATTTACGATTCTTTTATCAAGAATCATTTAGTAATTTTAATAATAATACTTCACAAATTATGTTGATAAAATTTTCATTGATAATTGAGTAATTCTAGTAGCTTAATCATAAAATCTATAGAAAATCATGATTTAATCAGATAAAAATATGACTTTTGACTCTAGTAAGTTTTTAACCTTCGTCAATCTCCCCTTTGTATGAGAGAGTGAAACAAGTACATGAATACTCTTATAAAGTGACATCATCATGATACTTCATGATAAAACAAGATGTATTTGAGGCACAAAAATCATTAAAATATTCTAGAAAAGTTGTGATTGTCGTTTTAGTCCCACATCTATTATATGTCAAATTTTGAGATGAACATATTGAATACAAGATTTGGTAAGTAATAAGTTTATTTCTTGCATGTGTATGACCATTCCTTACCCCATGTGCAACTAGCTACTAGTGACATGAAAGAGGATTCACACACACGTGTCTCTTATTGATCCGTCCTTAGTCACTCAAGTGCCTACTCGTGATTCCACCTAATTGTGATTCCTACCCACTTAGAAGCCTGACTAGCTATCAGGTTTTCTCTTTTTTCTATCTTTTTATTTTATTTTATTTATCTTAAAAATAAGATTATAAAAATTATATAAATTCATATAAAATCACATAATTAATGGAAAATTCACATTAGCTAATTAAAAATTATTTTTCATAATTTAATATAAATATAAGTCTATTTATCATGAGTTAAAGTTAAGCATCAAGCTTGGAGGGAAAGACTGACCGATGAAGCCCCTCGCTGAGTTACTTTACTTAGAAGTGACGAGATAGAGTCCCCCATTTGACGAAGTCAATCGACTTATCACATAATAATAAAGACTTATCACACTTCTAATTTAAATCATTATAGTCTCTTAGTAATAGAATTACGAAAATTAATACAAATTTATAAATTTTAAATATTATATTTTAATACATAAAAATATAATTAAAAATGATGTACTTCTAGATACTTTAGATTCTTATATTAAGTATTTAAGAATGATGTCAAACACTTAAACATTTAAGTACTCATAGTTTTAATCTAAACTTCACTTCTTCTATTTACATCTTTATCACTTCTTTACTCATAGATATAATTCACAAGATGTTTCAATTATCAATATTCATTCAAGAATACTATTGATCATATATTTATTTTTTCCATAGATTAATTTTTAAAATTTACATTATATTTATTTTTTCCATAGATTAATTTTTAAAATTTACATTATATTTATTTTTTTTCTATAATAGATACGTAACTTTTTCTATAGATAAATTTCAACAATAAGAACGATGTCTCACACTCTTCATGTGTACTCTTCATCATGCCATTCGCCCTGATGCTACCACTATCCTTCATATTGGTGCCATACAATCAACCTAGATTTTTTTTAAAAAAATGTAATATGAATTACCATGCAATGTGATAATGAAGACTTATTAGATATCACATATAATATTTGTAAATTAGTTATATATATAAATGACTCAATATTATTTTGTTATAAATAAATTTTCACTTGTAATATAAAAAAATCGAATTCTAATTTGTGATCTTTGTTATTTAACATCTTAACAAACATCAAGCCACATCATCATCTAGAAACAACCAACAATGAAATCTTTCATTACTTTGTGTTGGTAAACTTATGATTAAATTTGGATTTAATCACTCAATGAGTTGATCTCTGCAATTACTAGTGGCCTTTTAGAACTGTGAATGTGTAAAATAACATTTAGAAATGTTTTGTGGGAGTTATGACTTCTAAGATAGAGGCATGATTACAAAATATATTTTTTTAATGGAACCTAGGAATGAGGTGACCTTGAGATTGGACGTAGGCAGATAGTTAACCAATTGAAAAATCCCCAAGTCCCTAGTGCTAGAGATTGAAGCATCCTCATTTCCCACTAGTTGTGTAGAAGAACTATAATGCAAAAAGTAACATGAGAGAGGGAGAGAAATAGAATAACAAGAACAAAGAACACAATAAGTTTATTTGGTTCAAAAAAACCTCTTACGTCCATGGCTGTACATAGATGAAGCTTCCTTCGATAGATCGTCTCTTACAGCCCGTCAATGTCAAAATGCATTTGTATGCCTTGATTACATCAGATGACAGCAACCCTCCTCTTAAACACAAGAAGATTAGAGTAAAACTCTATGGAAACAAGGACAAATATGTTCTTATATCTGCTTAGTCATCTAATACCATGATATTTCTAAGTAAAAATAAGATAAAAGTATGCATTCTTATCATAATTTCATGAAATGATATGTAAATAAGAGTTTAAATATTGATATCAATGTATTTTAGATTTTTCATAATTACATTTCTATTTCTAGTAGTTTTTTAGATTTAACTATTTATTTTTCTATATTAAAGTTACAAGGAGATTGTTGGCTATAAGATAAAGACAATTTGGCCTTTAGGCATTCATGGGTCTGTACTATGTCACCACATCCCGCTCCACTGCTGCCAATTTCTTTATCTATATATTTCATGCACATCTTCTCTCCCCCTTTTCCCTTCTCGTCTCTCACTTATTCCTCAACATTTTGGATCTTTAGTTTTTGAATTTATAGTAAGTTTTCATTGATTTCTCGCACTCCCTTTCGCTCTCTCTTCCCAGGTGATATATGGGAGGACTTCTTCATGTTTCTTACCTTTCCAGTGTGTTCTTCCCTCCCTCCCCATTCCTCTCTATTATTTCGTTATTTTTCCAAGTTCTTAACCTTTCATGCAATTGCTTTTACATTCCCCAATCCCCCGTTCCGTCGTCAATTTTTCACTCTCTCTCACTGGCATTTGCTGCTACCAGCGAGTTTTCCATTTTCAGGTATGTGTTTCTCATTCTTCCCTTCTTTTAACTGTTTCTTCATTTGGCATTATTCTTTCTTTTATGTTTGATTGTCCTTTGTCGTGTTTTTTCGCCAGAGATCATTCTCGTGGGTGATTTTTCTCATGTCGATAAGGAACTTCTCTTCGGCGTGAGTTATTCCTTTTCAGATGAATTTTCTCCTTTCTCTGAAGTATGTTTCCTCTCTATCTTTTGTCCAATCTCTTCCCTACTTCCCTTCTTCCCTTTTGATCTTCAATTGATTTGACATTTCTTTTCTCTTTCTCTCACTGGAAATATCATTTTGGCAGGTGATTTCTCTCTCACAGAGGGAACTCTTCCCCCGATGAGTTTCTTTTCTGACATATTTGCTCCTTCCTTCCAGAATTTTCCTTCTGCCACGACTATTTTTTCCATCTTATTTTTCCCTTTTAATCATTTTTTGTGTTCCTTTCATCGAGCTTCTCTTGCCTTCGCAGGCAATCTCTCTCCCCGATGAAACGTCTCTTCCGCGATTGCGAACTCTATCGCAATTTTTTTTATTATTTGTTTTTTGATATCTCTCTCACGTGTCACCTTTGACCAGTACCAGTCAAGTACATTGACTGGCCAACTCTCTTCCCCATTTTGCGGTTCACCCTCTCTCCTATCTCCCAGTCTGACTGTCCCTCGTTATCTTTCCTATCTTTCTGACTTCTCTCTTTATCCTCTCTCTCTCTCTCTCTCTCTCAAGTACAAAGTCTCCACTACAAAGTCAAAGCACCTAAAATCCAATAAGTGATATTATATATTAATTTTTAATATTGACTTTGATCAAGTTTTCTTGATTTTTCTTATTTTCTTTTCAAAGTCTTAAGTCTAGTGTTATATAAAAATACAGAGGAGTAGAACTCAAAGAATTGTTTGTCTTTCAATCCCTTGCCTATGTTCACCCTCTAAGAACAACCTTTTTTTTGGTTCTACTAAGATCAAATGCTATGATCTCTACCACTAACCATTAGGTTTAACACTCGCAAAATTTTACCTTGAAGTTTCTTTTAGGTGGCCAATAGCTGATGAATGAGTCAACATCCTTGAATGACTGAACATGATTTAATCACAAATTTATCTCACAAGGAATATGAAAATTTTCATTATGAGTTGTTTCCAAAAAGATGATATTGACTTGGGGCGTGTCAAAGAATCTGATGAAGTTAAGGATGATATTAACTTGATCTTTATTATCCTCATTTGATAGTGATGTTGGTGGAATGTGTAAGGCATTATCAATTTCATCTGGTCATGGAAGGTCACTCATTGCTTGAAAGTGGTTCCTTAACTCAAAAACTTCATGTTTTTTGGCCAACACAAAAGACCTCAAAACTGATCATAGATTTTTCTATAAAAAATATCAAAGAAACTCTCGAGATTTTAGAGGTTAGAGGTGATTGTTCAAAACCAATTAGCCATTATATTTGTATTTATAGAGAAATCAAATTCAAAATACTCCCTATTTTTCATTATCTCTAGATGACTATAATTCAAAATACTCCCCTATTAACAACATGAAACTAATATGATATAATCCCTGTAAGCATTTAGATATTCTCATGAGAAACTAATACATGATACAATTAAAGTGCAACATCTATATGTCTTTAAACATATAGAATCTGATATCTTTAAACCAAAGTAATAATATCTCTTAGTAACATGATGATTTAGCAATCAAAACATATTTCAATTAGTGCAAATAAAAATATGAAGTAAACACATTGAATTTCAATATCAATATTTATAATTTTAACACCAATGATTTATAACATTTAAAATCATTTTCTAAAGTAAATTTGTTAATAATCATATTTTTTATGCAACAATATTAGTAGTCTTAATTCAATAAATTAATTCAATATCAAATATTGATGTAACATCATGGACACATAATAGATTGAGTGATCTTTCATATTCATATTTCATTGCATGAATTCTCATTAATTCAAATATCCTAACCATTACTCTTTCATTATGATATATTCTATAAATATTGATAATTTTCACAATAATATACCAAATAACAATTCCACATAGTAAAATCTACCAAATAATAGAATTAAAAATAAGGAAATTCAAGAGTATTTTTGGAGTTCTTATTTACGTATGTATTACTATTACTTTGAATTATTCTTCAATTTATATTTAACTAAACTCTAGATCACATATAAAAATATTTATTTATTATTTATTTTAATAATTACTAACCATAATTTGATTTTTTAATTGGTCTCTTGTGTTTTTCATCATCAGCAAAAATTCATTGAATTATCCAACACATAGAACATATTTATTCAGTATATCTAATTACACATTTTGGAAGACAAGAATAAAAATATCAATTATGCCTTAGATTATCAATTATTGGAGTAAAAATGGACAACCTTTGGATATTAAACATGCATCTATTTAGCAATAGAGAAATCAAAATTGTCTTGATCAGTAGATTAGATCCTAGATAATTTAAATATACTATTGATTATTTATGAAGGACTACAACAGTTGAGTTTAGCACATATCGATTAGTTTATAAGTATGAACTGTTTACCATGAATAAAAATGAGAGCATTTCTGAGTTTATTGAGAGATCACATTTATTATTAGTTGTCTGAAAAATTAAAGAAGTACTCAGCATGATATTACCTTGGCTCAAACTTGATGTGCTATGGAGGTGATCCTTTTTTCTAAATTCCTCTATAGATCAAGGTCACACTCACATGTTATAAAAGGAGATGACAAGTCCCTATCAATACTTAAGGATTGAAGTATATCTGAAGAGTAATTAGTTTCTTAGCTAGAATCAGAATAATTACTTTGACCTCAGAATCAAAAAGGAAAAAGCCTTCTGGGTTTCAACAATGCAAAGATGAAGCCATAGACGGTCACTATCTTGATGTTCTTTTAGAGCCATTGTGATTGGAATTTGAACCAGTATTCTCAAACAGCTGAAAATTTACAATCTATGGAACAACGAATTCAGCATGGGCTATCTCCTTGTATTCTCAACTGGAACATGGAATTAGTGGGTTAATAAACATGGACGAACAGGTAAGTTGAGTCAGATAAAAACAGAAAAATATCATGGACACCAGGACATCTATGCTATTGAGATAGCAACTCACTTGATGATTTACTTGACTTTGTTCCATATGTCCGAAGTACGCGGGAATCCATTCATTAAAACTATATGGCTATCCAAGTTAAAGCCGTCGGCTTGAGTGTAAAAAAGGTTCGACCCGACGGCCACGGCATTTGCTTGAACCGATATCGCATTATCCGAATAAACTAATCTTATGTGTGATGGTTGAATCTGTAACCCAACGTTTCGATAAAAGGTTAAATAAAGCCGTTTCGCTGGATCCTTGCTTCGAGATTAGCCAAAACCGAGTTCTTGGGAGCACACAGACTGCGGAGCTCGCCTCAGGACCCGCGGTCTTCCCGGAAACTTCTTCTAAGGTTTAATGGCAGAGACCTCCTTTGTAAATCAAGCGACAAATGCGATGCCCTTGTCCGGCCGGAAAATATACCGTTGGCCTTGCTCATCCAGTGATTGAACTCTCTCAGCTTCCAACTCACGATTTGGAAGGTGTAATTTTGTAGCGTGGCAATCCACACCCTACGTGGGTTGTTTTCGTCAATTCCTATCTGACGTTCTTGTCCCTGCAGAGAGCCAACAGTGACGCTCTCGCTTGACCCGCACGTCACACACCTCCCGTGCGGCGTGCCTGCCCGCCCAGCCAGACGAAGACAGACATGGGCACTGAAGGGGAGAGGTAGATTTATTTATTTATTTATTTCCCTACGTTTGTTATCAGCATAGGTGTTAGATGTATGTGGAAACTTCTACGCTCCGCTCCCCCTCGCGGACGAACGCCTGGTACAGCTGTTTCGGATATCAATCCCCCCTAAAGCTGTCCAGCGTCGGCCAAAACTTTATATAAACCCCCGCGGCCACGCGTAAAACCCCATGTCCGACGTATCGGAACAAACTGATCTCCTGCGCCTTTGGGCTTCCTCCGAACCTTTCGTCTCAGATCAGGTAGAGGAAGAGGGACATATATGGTGGGCCAGTGCTTCGCACCGCCAGTGGTGATGCCCACGGCAGCCGCCATCTTCTTGCTGCTCCTGCTGGCCTTGCTACCGCCGTGGCCAGCGTCGGCGAACGGAGTGGCGCACCCCCGCAAGTTGGCCCTCGTGCAGCAGAAGCCGCTTGTTCTCGAGTACCACAACGGGACCCTCCTGAAGGGGAACTACTCCCTCAACATCGTCTGGTACGGCGCCTTCTCTGCCTCGCAGCGCGCCGTGATCGTCGACTTCCTGACCTCCCTCCCCGGCCTGGGTGCCTCGGGGAAGGCCTCGCCGCCCTCTGTTGCTTCCTGGTGGCGCACCACCGAGTCCTACAAGGATGGTGCTACCGCACTCGCCGTGGGGCGTCAGGTGATGCTGCAGGGACGTCCCCGAGGGACGATCCTCTCCGATCGCGACATTCGCGACCTCGCGGCTCCCGGCCGCCACCGGGGCTCCATCACCGTCATTCTCACCGCATCAGACGTCACCGTGGAGGGCTTCTGCATGAACCGCTGTGGATCGCATGGGTCGGCGCGGCTGCCCTGGGGGAAGAACCGCCACGCGAGGTTCGCCTACATCTGGGTCGGCAACTCGGCCAGCCAATGCCCTGGGCAGTGCGCCTGGCCCTTCCACGGGCCCATCTACGGGCCCCAGACGCCGCCCCTGGTGGCACCCAACGGCGACGTCGGGGCGGATGGCATGGTGATCAATCTGGCTACCCTCCTGGCCGGAACAGTGACCAATCCGTTCGATGAGGGTTTCTTTCAGGGCCCCAAGGAGGAGCCTCTGGAGGCTGTCTCGGCGTGCACAGGGATTTTCGGGACCGGCGCCTATCCGGGGTACCCGGGCCAACTATTGGTAGATCGCATCACGGGCGCCAGCTATAACGCCGTCGGCGCGAGCGGCCGCAAGTACCTGGTGCCGGCGATGTGGGACCCGAAGACCTCGCAGTGCGCAACGCTCGTCTGACTGGGAGAGTGGTCTCCGTCCCCGTTCGCTCCTAATTTCTGTGAATAACACAAAAGCGAGCGAGCGAGAGGAGAGGGAGATCATGATTATCCACCGTCGTTCACTGTTCCTCAGCTTCTCGTGTAGTGAGCCTACACCTTTTCTTTTCTTCTTTTCTCCTTCTGGCTTGGCGATAGGAAGATATTTTGACCTGTGTCAATGACGATGCGGCCCCTTCGTCCCCCGTCTCTTGTGGGGATGGCGGTGGCGAGGTCCCGCCGACCGCCCCCGCCCTCACGGATTCGAACAGGTAAGCCGGTCCATCACGCGCTAAAGTGCGCTCCCGAAGGCCGTACCACTCTGGCAATGGGCCGTGCGTACTGGAGAAGAAAGCCATGAGCCATTACCCAACCATCACAACGGGGCAAGACGCGAGCCCCGAAAGCGGGCGGAGAAACGATGAGCCGGCAGCCTCTCCTGGCCGAGATTGGGTGGAGCTCTCTGTGTTCCTCTGTTTCCAGTTCAGAGGAAACGCAGGCAGTGCCATGAGTGACCGCCAGTCTGGGCCGAGACTTTCAGCCGTCACTCGAAGGCGATGGAACAACAGGAGAAATGATTAGACCGCGATAGGTGATAGCGTTGCAGGCTTGGGGGTGGGGAGTGGGGGGCTCAGAGGATGACGATGGGCTGCGATGGCGCGCCGATTCGCAGTATTCGAAACTCGAAGAGCCCAGGGCGAGGCGAAGGATTCAACCCGAAGAATGTGAATGGACACCGGTGTCTTCGTTGTGCTAGAATGCGGTGTCTTCGCATGCGGTAATGTTTGATTAAATGTCACTATATTATCATAAATACGTCTTGGTGTGCAGCATCGTATCCGGCGACTGGATTGAAGAAGAATCCCTGTCAACTTGGATCGAGACCCAACTGATTCTATGTATGATCGGCGTAAACGTGTTTAAATTTAAACCGTCTGGGCACGTTAATTCTCCAGGTTGTGAGGGCTGCGTAATCGGTGCAGAAGCTGAGGAGGATAGAGGACCACATCCCTGTTGAGGTCTTATAAAATCCTGGCCGAGGATCGTTAGTGACTAATTTTCGTCTAATTTATACTTTTCCGGGACTTGACGCCTAGAAATCTTAGAGTTCTTGGATCCAGGCAAGAGGAATTAAACACCTGTGAGAAACCAGAAAGCCACATTTTTTTTTGACCCAAGCGGTCCGTGGACTCAAATGGTCTTGAGTGTATCTTTTTTAACTAACGTAATTATTGAGGACAATTAAAAAAACATTAACTTATTTAAAGATGTTAAAGCTGTAACTTCACAAAATAATTATTAATAAATTTTCATTCTCATTGAGAGATTTATTTTTTCATGTAGATTTAAAGAACCCTTGTAGATTCAAGAGACATCATTTTGGCCATTGTGGATTTATAGATCATGAAAAATTCATTACTAATGGATTCAAGGCCCAACTTTTTATTCTTTTGTAGAGTCCATGGCATCAAGTGATATTAGAGCAGCCCTCGTAGATTTAAAGATATTATTTTGATCTTCATAGATTCAAGAATTCTGTAAAACAATCTTTGTGGACACAAAAATTGAAGAATTTCTCGACTTGTGGATTCATTATCTAACTTTAATTATTCACCAATTGCCGTTGTATGGGCATGACTTCACTTGTTGACAACACCTAAGATAAATTACTCCTTGGATACTCTCAGCCTGATTGATCCCCGATTATTAGAACGTTGAACCATGCCATTGCATCTTGAGAAGATATATTGTTAATACAGTAGAGTTTGAGAAGAGCCCATACGAGGAGGGCTTACATTGATATTTTCATCAGGAGACTGCCAATGGTCTTGTGCGCTGTCTTGGGAGGGAGGAGTCCAGTTCTGCGCTGATCCCCCATGAATCGTCGCCGTGGAATAGAGTGATGTGACCCAAATCGATTAATTAGAATGACGTAATTAATCATGGGTTTCATTTATTTGAATAAACAGCAAGCGTGGATAGATAGAACCAATCTTGATCTCCTTCTCGCCTTCTAGCCGGGCAAACTTGTTTGAAACCGCTTCCAGCCATCTCCTCTAAACGTAGGGGCCCCGAGATCCTCATCTGTTCCATAATCTTTATTAACAGATTCATTAACGATAAGTTCAACTTGGAGACCGGACCGGTCGTATTCCGGCCCAGAGAACCGCCCCTGGTTCAATCCCGGTCACAAGAGCCGCTCCATCTCCACGCCAAAACCCCAACCCTTGCAGGCACTTCATGTGATGAACCAGGAGGGCGAGGGGAAATGGCAGACACGGCGCCGATCTCCGTCGATGCCGGCACCGGCAGCACCGCACCCGCCGCCGAAGAGCGGCCGGAGATCTCTGGGGACCCCCTGACGGGCACCTTCCATAGAAGCGCAGCCTCTTGCCCAGGACTGCGAGAAATATCCTCCCATATGCTCTGCAGCGTCTGCGTAGGTGCCTCCGGGAACCTTCCCTTGTCTTCGCAAATTCCTCCCCTTCAACCCCCGTCTTGGGATCCTACTTCCCCCACCCCACCTCCTGTTTATCGCCCGATCCGATCTCCAGCCATTAACGCCCCCAACCACTCCCAGACCGCGATTATTCTCTCCCCCGTACCACATCCACAGCCCGTCGCTGTCCTCTCGCTGCCACACGAATTCGTGATCCCTGTTAAGCGAATTACTTCTCCCGACGACATCCGCCACTTCCACTCGTCAGCTTCTGGCCAGAACTTCCTTGGCTTCGTCGCCGCACTATCCCAGTCCGTCCTCCGCAAGAAGATCTCCGATCCCCTTCCCGTTCCCCTCTCCCGCAGCCTAGAGTCTCTCTTGGCCTTCCTCGATTTACTATCCGTATGGGTGGACGAGATTCCCCCATTTCCTCACCCGGGCCGCTATGGGAACCCTGCCTTTCGTATGTGGCACCAACGCCTACAGGATACGGCTGAGCAGATGGTCGTCGGCCTCCTCCCCGGTGGCGATCTCAAACCGATTGCTGCAATAGAGCTTGTTCCCTACCTACTCGATTCATTTGGGAATTCCACACGAATCGACTATGGGACAGGGCACGAGACTAACTTTGCCGCCTTTATATATTGCCTTGCGAGGCTCGGACTTCTCCACGAAGAAGACTACCAGGCTTTGGTGCTCCGAGTATTCGTGAAGTATTTGGAGCTAATGAGGAAGCTGCAGACGGTGTACTGCCTTGAACCTGCGGGTTCACATGGTGTTTGGGGCCTCGACGATTATCACTTCCTACCATTCATCTTTGGCTCGGCACAGCTAGTTGATCACAAGTACATGAAACCCAAGTCAATACATAATCACGACATAACTGAGAATTTCTCAAGGGATTACATGTATCTCGGGTGCATCGAGTTTGTGAAGAAGGTGAAAAAGGGGTTGTTTGCAGAGCACTCACCAATGCTGGATGATATTAGTTCCGTTGCCTCATGGGCAAAGGTGAACAGCGGGATGCTGAAGATGTACAAAGCAGAAGTGCTGGAGAAGGTGCCGATAATGCAGCATTTCCTTTTTGGGTCGATTATCAAATGGTAAGTTCAATGAAACATGTGAATGAAAATATTGATTTTCAGAATCCTAGAAATATCAGTCTTTTGTTGAAACTATTGTTTAGAAGGTTGGTTTATTGTTCTATAACTTTCAGTAGTTTTTTTACTTTCGTTTGGTAGTATGCACGAATCATTTTCTCTATGACATTTATAAATATGCAATAACAAACAACAAGGAATTAGGATCTGTACAACGAATCATGTCCTCAGTTTGGTCTGGGTCTTTAGACGGGTAGCATTAAGCATAAATCCCCTCGTTAGTTTAAGCTTGGATACTCTCACCAAGGCTATACTAATTGACTGATCTTGGTTTATTTTTTCATGTTGTTTGTTGGTTTATTGTGATTTTATTAAGATAATGGTTACTGCGGAAGGCATTTTTGCCACGAAAGTAAAATCAGGGTCTTGTACTTGGTCATTAACGACAAATAAAAATATTCTAATTATACGTGGAGTTGATTCCCTAACGGCTTGATTTCAATCATTGCTTCTTTTTCACTGAGATTATGACATGATTAAATTAAAATTTCTGTACACAGATGTATGAAAAAGACAGAATTGTCACCTTTCGGAATCCTCAAATTTCTCCAGAACATACATCAGAGCAAGTCGATGGAAATTGAGATGCGTAATTGTCAAGTATACTTAAATGAGCCTTCTATTCATCAAATCTACTCTCCAGATTCCCTCAGAATTATCACCTTTCGGAATCCTCAAATTTTCTTTTGCCTTTGAGGATTCTGAAAGGCGATAATTCTGAAAGAATCTGGAGAATAGATTTGATGAATAGAAGGCTCATTCCGAAAGGTGATATTATAAGAATTCATCTCTGTTGTATCTTCTGAACGCTTTCACATGGAGAATGGGGAATGCCATCACTTATTGACCTACATGTTTTTTGGGATATTATGAATTTCTTCAAAGCAATCACAGGATGTATGCAAATTTTTCTTGCAAGCGTAGATAGCCTGTTTCAATCTGAATGACTCAAAAATAAATAAACGGGAAGGTTGCATTTATGGTGTCGCCTAGGTATTTCAAAATATGTCACTTTCTGGTTTTTCCTATTGCAATACTGCTGCTGAGCATGAAATAGATGCCAGTGAATAATAAGTTTATATTAGGAACCAACTTTTTACCATAGTGGTCAATTTTTTTTCAATGTTTGGAGATGAAGTAGAGCAGTTAAGTCTTTATGTGTACTAAAAATATCATGGACAATTCGTGTGGTGATTTAGTCCAAATCATGGAAATTGCAGAGAGGTAGAGCTGCACGAAGTAGAGCGGTAATACAATAAAAATTACTACTAAGTTAACAAAAGAATTGGAAATTTCAAACCTTGATGTGAAATTCATGCAATGTCCCATCTTGTGAACTGATAAGAGTATATAAAAAGACTAGTAACTAACCCATGACCATTATTTAGAGGAGGAGACAAAATGTCTCTTTCTAATTTTGAAAATAAAATAATTCTTTCAGTACCCTTATTGCTTAAAGAAAACTACTTTTACTGAATTTTCTTTGACTAAAGAGTCACTTTTTTAAGCAGTTGTAGATAAATTTTGCTTAAGGTGGAGTAAAGTCTAACTTCCATTAATTCGTTTGCACAGAGCTTTTTGAAGATTTTTAAAATAAAGCATCAATAGCTCTTGCTTCAGCTTTTTATGTTATTTATAATGCACCCTCTTAAAACACTTAAAGATAGGAGTAAGTATGCTGTTAAAATTGTGGAGAATGTTGACAATAAGTTGAAAAGTTACTTCTACACTCTTTGGATGTTTCATGATCTTAGCAAAACTATATAGCTTAAGGACATCTCAACATACATCAAACTTGAAGGTGGCATTGATGTATGCTGTTTATGTGTATTGGTTTAGATATGGACGATATAATCGTACACTAATGCCAACTATTCAAGGAGTGGCTTAAAGACATGATCTATTAGTTACAGATGAATGTTAGGATCATTGGGTAATTCAAATGTCTTAATGAACTGTTCTTAGAGCCTTTATATCTTTGATTCGGTTCGTAAGGAAACATAATTTTGATGATAGGTGCCTTTGATAATAATTTAAGAAACTTAAAAACATTACAAATGACTATGGAGTAGGCACCTAGTGGATGGCCTAATACAAAAAAATTGGTTTTATCAAAGAAAATTCTTATTTTCTAGTGTTCATTGAAAATATAGGAGAATGCATTAGTTGTAATTGTTGTACTTATTCTATACTAATGGATAGGAAAGATTAGGATTAAAAAAAGTGAACCGATTTATGCAAGCTATTCTGAGTTGGTAGACCTTAGAATAAATGGTCTGTTTCCAATATCATACTGGAGAAGGTACTTTGATGAACATCCTGATAATTTTAGGCTATATCGGTTATTTTTCCAGCCTGGTGAACTTACAAATCTTATGAAGAGTTATAATGGAGCAAAACTTAAAGCAGGTCGGTTTTAGTGCTTTTTATCCTCACAAAAAGTTGGGGAAGAGTGGTATAGGGTGAGAAAGAATAAACGATTGCTGATTGCTAACCAAGTGATAGAAGCAGACTGGACTTTTGATGAGTGATGGGAGTAGGAGAATGGGCAGCGGTTCCTTTGCTTGTGCCTGTTTCTATTGACATGGTCATTATTGAGGATGACATTTTGGTGTGTCGTCTTTCTTTTCAGCTACTGGCCATTTTAGGATTTGTATCATCTGTGCCTTTGGTATATTTGGTGGAAGGCATTAAAGTGGCTGATTGTGACAAAAGATTGATGGATAGTTGTTGGGGAAAGTGGGGTCCTAGTGTTGACTGGGCATCTGTCTCTTCTATTGTCTTCTAAGTGTATATTAATGGCCAGTTTACAACTTTGTGCTGTTTAATCCTGTCACTATTTACAACTAAGTATTGGCGCTAATGAACTCCTTGTGCTGGTCTAGCAACCTTTTGAGTTGACCGTTCTGAGTGTCCTAGTTATATGGAATTATTGTTTAATGAAGGATATTACATAAAACAGCACTTATAAGCTCAGTTCATAGAAGGAAACAGGGTGATCTAGTCTCTAGGTCATGATAGTGAAGAGAATATGGGAAATCTGTTTTAGAGTGTTTTATTTCATGTAATTTATTTTCCAAGTATATTTTCCAGAAAGTATGGCTCAAATGTTGGTGTTTGTATGGTTGATTGCATTATACGATCTGGATAACATGTGTGAAGGTTAGTATCCGTAGTGATCACGCTAGGGCCAGTGTGACTGTTGAAGATAATGATATCGTCCTTGGATTAGTTTGTTTTGATCTTTTCAAATTCGGGTTGAATCAACCCAATCTTAGTTTTGTGGAAAGGACTGATCTGGGTAAAGAAAATAAATAGTTTGCCTATGTTCTGAAAGTGTGGACACGAATAACTTTTAACAAAACGCATTGTAAATACAATAATGTTTTAAACTGGGTTCGTACTACAATACAAGCTTATCTTTCTTGCCAAAAGTATAAAGGGCTTTTTAATCTTTATTGCTTGTTTTTCTGGAGCAAGGTGGAGAATCTTCACGTTGCTAGTTTATGATATGAGAACCTTGATAACTGATTCCCTCGTTGAATGGTTGTCTCACATGAGATAACAAGGAATGGACCAAAATAGAAAAAATGAAAGTGAAAAAGTAACAGAGGAGGCGATTTTTCACAAGATTTTTTGGATAATTGACTGCTATTTTCTTTTTGAATTGGTTGACTAGACAGGAAAGGCATTGTCTTTGAGGGTGTCTCAAATAAAATTAGTGAACTGTCTTCGGCTTCATTGGACTGTGATGAGGCTGACCCATAAATGTGGGAAGAATCCATGGGTTCTCTGCAAGCGTTCATCTAAATGAACATAAATTCCATTGTCTCTTGCACGCTAAATAAGTTTGTTCTGGTATTGTATTAATTCCATGCTGTATACACTTTGGCCTTTGGCACGAAACTATTCAGCTCTGATAATGTTAATAAATAACAATTATGCTCTTTTGACTACTCTACTTGGCATGTCCTTGCTTTTGATTGTTATGATTGGGAAGTTACTTACATTTCTTTGCGTTTTACAGGGAGGAAAGTAACGAGTGTTAGATTTGCCTAGTGTATACCCTGGGCTACTGGGTTTTTCATACCTTTCTATAAAGTATGTCAGAGTCTAGTGGCATCAGCAGACTTGCTACGTTAATGAACCCTCACCCGAGGAAGTTTAGGTGTGTCTTGCTCTCCTCCTTTTGTGTATGGATTCGTGGTGAAGCATAGCCTTGTCTTTCAATTTTAGGAGATCGTTTATGACTTATAAAATTTCGTTTACGTGATGAATTATTCTGTGCTGTGAAATAATAGGTTTAAATCAGTAAATCCTTGCACTGATATTTGGATCGCTGCATGTGTAATGAATTTGATTGGTTTCATGCGCATGATGTGTTGTGTGTCGCTCTATAATGTATGCACATGTTCTCATCGGGGTTGTACATGCCGCCTACCTTAGAGAACCGTTGGTTGGCTTGCGGCTTGCAAGATGGTTGCTGTTTATGCTGACGGCTGCTAGGCTATCGTTGCTGGGAGTGTGTTTTGCTGTTGTCCAAGAACTGGGTTGGCGAGAACCCTGATCCTCATCCCCAGCGCTTGCTCGGGCCGGGCTACCAATTTGGCACCTTGGAAGCCCTATTTGGAATGCCTTCCCGTAGTTTACCCAACCCACGACCCTCCGCAGAAGCAACCACATGGTGCCCCTTATGCTCCACCCCCTGCGTCTCCTCTGTGTGTGGTTCTGATATTAAAACGGTCCAATATTTAGCCTACTTTCCTGATTTCTCTCTCATGCTCAAAGCTTTGGGGAGATGATTAAGTCAAGGGTGAGATTAATCAGATCTTTGCCTGGGGCATTATCCATGCACATCTATGACACCAAAAATGTGAGGAAGGGTTGCGTGGATTCTCACTTTATTTGATGTATATTTAGAAGCTAGTGAACATAATTGATGCTATCTAGTAGAAAGTTATAAATGGGTTTGCTGTGGACAAACTTTACAAATTTCATCTTCTTCATCTCTACCAAAAACTATTGAATCTCATCCAGCAACATCATTCTAGGGAGATCGTTAGTCCTATGTCCCCATTGACCTGGTACAGGTCTGATCTAGGAACTCTATTCTATATAAACCCTAGACAACCTAGTCGTTTCAAATAAACCTTCGACACACTGAGAACGGTCATCCCTGCCGGGATTTGCATACAAACAATTGATTGTAAAAGGAAACTAGGACCAGTAAGCACATAGCTACGACTGCAAAGAAACCTAGGACTACAGCAGTTATATCTGTTTGTCAGACTAGATTTGATGCACTTTTTGAACCTTGTATTATGGACTACTCAAATGTTATTCCCCTCCTTGAATGTACACATCTCTGGCACCAGTCTATAGCGACTCACGGTGAAACTTCACTTCTAACCCCTCCGCAATGTGTCCTTTTCCATTAATCCCTAGGAAAATAAAATGAATTTTTAAAAATGATATTGGAGAATGAAATCTTAGTGGGGAAACTCTGAAGGCAATAATATCTTTCATCCCGCCTAGCGATTGGTAGGCCCAACAAAAAAAAAGAAAAAAGATGGTAGTGTATCAAAGGATGAATTCACTGAAATGAATAGATTTTGGATATTAGAAAAGGAGATAACTTAAGGTGAATAATGTAGGATGAAGAAATTGAAACTTTCAATAGTTTCAGGAAGGAGTGTGAGATGTATGACAAGGTTGGCGACGGTGAGTCAAACAGACTGTCTAAAAGTGCTAATTTTCCAAGTAAGATAGATGATCAAGCTGCTAATCTATCCTGGAGTTTGTCTTACATCACCACATTTTTAAGAGTACAATTTACCAGTAGTTTCCCTACCTACTTCACCTTTCATTCTTTGTATTATTCAGAAATATCCATTTTCCTTTTCCTAGGGTGAAATCTTTCGGAATAATCATTTGTTTCGATAGGGTTTTCATACTGAAAAACCACTTGAAGAATTAGACACCCATTATCATCTGGGATAGATTCTCGGTAGTGTATGCCTCTAAAGCATAGCGAAAAAGAACTCCCGTAAGAAGATTTCCACAAAAATTAC